ATTGACTTTATTTCGCACCAGGGTGGGAAATAAAGTCAATTGACCTTATTTCCGTTGATATTATTACCTGTCACCATACCACTCGTCGACGAAATGCCGGCTGCCACCACGGCAAAGATTTTTAATTCCTCCACACTTCGACGAAATTTACCATAGTGAAAAGCAAAATGCAGATTAAAAACGAAAATAAAAAGAGAAACAAAAAGGTGATCAGCACAGGGCAGACGGGATGCTTGCGGAGGCAGAGGCGTGCTGGTGTCAGATCAAAACGAAAACTAAAATAAAAATGGAAGTCAGAACGACAAGTGTTGACAAACAAGCGGGAGACGGGGAAAGGAGCGGGGTTTTGTACATTTTATTTTGACTTCTTTCCGCAATTGTCTAAAGTCATGTAAAATGGACCTTTTTATAAAAACTATTTTATTATAATTTAATTAAACATATGTGTGTATGTATATATTTACTTTGCACATACACATATATATACGTACAATATATCTATGTATTGTACCAATTCATAAATTTGCATTAATGTATGCATGCGCAATCGGCTCATTTTTAACCGACTTCCAAAAAAGGAGAAGGTTATCAGTTCGTCGGAATATATATTTTTTTTTTTTGTATGTTACCGCATAACTTTGGACCACGTCAACCGATTTCGATAATTTTTGCATCGGAAAGGTAGTGTCTCAGAGGTGGTCCCATACTAATCCCATACTAATCTGGTTAAGAGAATGTATGTACAAATAATATACTTACTTATGTATTATACATACAATTACTTATGTGCAAACAAGTATATGCATAAGTATATATGTATGCATATATCTTTCAGTTAAACTGCAAATTGAAGCTGACAAATTGAAGTTATTTTAAGCACCTAATATTTAAAAAGTTTAAAAATCTGAAAGTAAATAAAAAATATAACAAAAATAAATCCTAAAATGAAACAAATTAAAATTGTTTTTCTCCAACTTTTGGTTGGACACGAATTACGAATATGCCTTCTCATATGAAGACAAACTTACAAATGCATTGATTGCACTGCACGTGTTAACTTCAAAGTTGTTTTTTCGAAAAGTTATTTATATTGAGAAAAAGTGTGCATTATCATTTATCACTGCTATACTGGTATTATATGTAAATAATGGGGCATATTCATAGTTAAAATAAAGTCGACACTAAAGTTAGTTGCAGCTTTTTCACATCATTTTCATTTCCTTCTTATTTGGGCTGACAAATTGATAACGTTTTTACATGCATACATATATAGGTATGTGTACATATAAATGTACATATGTACAACTCACGGCAGCATACATACATATGCACATAATTACACGCGTACTCAAATACAACAATAACTATTTCATTCATAAACGCATTCGCATATTTCTCAAGGTCAAGATCATTCATTCAAAATCCTACAGCAGCACATCTCCCCGCAAATTCATCACCATCAAGCGCAACTTTGTCAATCCGACACGAAAATTCTAAAATGTAAAATTGAAGAAATCTCGGCCAACCAAGTGAAAAGTGGCACATATTTCTCTATATCCAATGAAATATGAAATGAGTTATCTCGAATTTTGGTAATTTTTGGAAAACACTCTATTTCTCTGTGTCACACCAATATTTCAATTATTAACTAATAATTTATGTGGTCATTTTAATAAATAATTAATAAAAGTAAACGTTTTCTGCAGGAAAAAACAATATTTTTTTTAAATAAAATCAAAACTTCTAAAATCACAAACATAAAGCATCGTTCACTCAAAATCGGTACGCGTTCCAGCAATTTCTGTACAGCAATTGTTGGAATGTATTAAAAAGTTGTAATACAGATCGTTAGACAATAGATCTACCATTATGAGGTTTCAAGTTCACAGTACTGGCTTTTTATTTGACAGTTTTATTCGTGTTGGAAGTTGCTGCTCAAAAAATAATGTTGAAAAAATTCATCGAAAAACCGACATTTTCGGGATCAAAAATCAAATTAAGATTAAATATACCAAAAACTTATAATTATCTTCCAAAAATCAATGAATAGATTTCTTCTCCTTAAACTAACGGGGTAAGCTAATTATTAAAAAACATCATTTCGCATCAGCTTAAGGATAAGGCTCTTTACCTCAATTAGGAAAAAAAAACGGCTTATCAGAAGAAGATCGCGCGAGAGAATCGGAAAACGATTATCCACAGTTCAGCGAATGCAAGGTATGGCAAGACTTAAACCTTATCGAGTTATAATATACAAAATTCTGTTAGATTAAATACATTTTATAACAAAAACCGCAGCCGTTTACTTAACCCCAATGTTCACAGCAAATGTGGTATTTTATATTAAAACATGTTTAAAACTGGACTTCGGTCAACTCCCACGTTAAAAGTTTTAAGCTAAAAAGAAACAGGGTGATATCCTCTAACAACTAAATCTATAAAAGTTGACACAGTTGTCAAAAGGCTATGAAATGACAAGAGAATCGAGGCAGTCTCATTAAAACTCGATCAGATCCACAATGGGTCATTTGACCCCAGAAATATGCTGGAAGGAGCGCTTGCACAAAGTGTTATTCCATTGTATCATTTACTTTGGACCTTTTGTAAAGTGTTGGTTGGTTTCTATGAAAACTAATTATTCACAGATAACTTTAAATCGGTTTGAAGACAATGATGTGAATAAAGTTCTGGAAGTCATCAATTTACGAATATGACCTATTTACGTCAAATCAAAAAATACATGGTATTTATTTAAAACAAAATTAGTAGAGACGTGCGAGCTGTGCAAAAACATAAACTAAAGATAGTTTAGTAGGGCAAGTTGACTACAAAGGTCTCTAGAATGGGTGTTCAGAAAAATTTTATCATTATCAAAGAAATTGTCTCTAATTTGTTTATCCAAGCAAAATATGAAACTTTCGCTAACATGTATCTATAACGGAATGTTTTCCCTTTATTTCAACATATTAAGTATTATTTTCTGAAAACCTATTAAAAAGATATAACCCATTTCATGCGTACTGATTTTGAGTGAACTATGCTTTATGTGGTTTTATCGAAAGTTCACAAATGTAACGTGGCAACTTAGCTCATTTTCACATTTTTCGGTCCGAAATTATAAAATTTTTGTCCATGACGCGCCACGGTTTTTGTTCAGGTGGGTCGAAGTGACTTGAACACCATTTGTATAAATGCAAAAAAAATGATTTTATTTATTTTTTAATTTTAACAATTTCTATACTTCAAAGCGTTTATAAATATATATTTATATATATCCACAGATTATTTTAAATTTTTTTCATCCGTAACCAAATCTTCAGTACCATAAAAAGATTCAAACACATTATAGTACAACCAATGCGATGTTCAAGCTAGAGCTACTCCACTGTACATGTGTATATGTACATATGTATGCATGTATGCGTGTAAAAATGTCAATTCAAGTTTGCGTTTAACCCATTTTAGCGGACATAGTTGTTTTAGTTCCAGATGTTAATAATACACTATTTTACAACGTTTTTTATGTTTAATCTTCATGCAAGTTACATGTATCGTCGAGAACATGGTTACATGCCGAATTTTAAATTAATTATTACTATTCTCCATACAAAATGTACGAGTATTGCTTTATTAAATGCAAACTTATGCGAAAATTTAATATTTCGTAAACGTAGGGTTAATATGTTCGCGCACGTGCCAATCTGGTGCCGATTCGCAGAAATTGAATAAAAATAATTTGTTGTGATGGGAGTGGCGAGGGGAAGACGAAATCAGACCAATTGTACATTTGTACGTACATATGTACATTTATAAATGCATACATACTTACATTTTCATTTGTTTGCCTTTTTTGATGGATGAAAAATTTGGTAGCAGAAATATGTAATATCAATGAAACGAAGTTTACAAATATGTGCTTTATAAATTTAGGTTTATTAATTAATTAGATATGTAAATGACAATGTGAGGGACAAATATGCACATGACTAGCGAAGTTGCCACCCATCCAATGGCAACATACACGAAAATAGAAAATATTTGAAAAGTGAATTACCTATGAGTATGAAAGACGTTAGCATTTTTCCTTTATAATCTTTAATTTTCGCGTATTTATACTTACATTATAAATCTCATCAACTTAGATGAAATAGAAAAATGCATACATGTTTAGCTGAAATAGAAAAATTCATACATGTTTGCAAAAACCAATTTGCAATCACCGAATCGATTTCACGCAAATCTTCATATTTTCGGCAAGCAAGCAAATGTACAAAAACCTGCTCCTTTCCCCGTCTCGTATTGATCTTTCCCCGTCTCCCGCTTGTTTGTCAACACTTTTTCTGACTTCCATTTTTATTTTAGTTTTCGTTTTGATCTGACACCAGCACGCCTCTGCCCTGTGCTGATCACTTTTTTGTTTCTTTTTTATTTTCGTTTTTAATTTGCATTTTGCTTTTCACTATGGTAAATTTCGTCGAAGTGTGGAGGAATTAAAAATCTTTGCCATGGTGGCAGCCGGCATTTCGTCGACGAGTGGTGCATTTCGTCGACGAGTTGTATATTTGCTCAAAAACGGTCACTGGAAATGCGCCTTCTTATTTATAAACGTTCTCTGGCAAGGTAGTGTGTGTTAATATACATATATTAAATATAGCCAAAACGGGTAAAAAAAACGGGTCAAAATAAAAACTCTATTATTTCTTCCATCACTGTACAAAACAACAAAAAAAATCTTATTATTTAATATTGCCCTTTAACTCTTCTATCTCCGATAGACGACGATTTCTCTCTATTTTACTCTCCACTTCACTAAGTCTAAGTTTTTACATAAATAAATTATGTCGCTTCATTTCTTCCACTTTTTCTTGTTCTAGTTGAAACATTTTTTCAAAATTTTGCCTTTGAACGTCATAAATCCGATCAAGGGAGCGATACATTTTTTTTGTAATTTCCTTTTGGTCCTTTAAACCCGTCACAGCCTCTTTTATTGACTCACACACCTCTTTTTGTACACCGATTTCCTCTACAAACATATCGTTAGGATAGCTATTTTGCTTTTTTGGCTCGCTTTGCGGAGCGTTGTGTTTTTTTCGTTTTCGGCTGATACGGAGTATTTCAAAAGTGCTATCGAGTATATAATTCTCTGCTGTGGAATTATCTGCAGGTGACTTTGTCACATGACTTGAAAGGCCAAACTTTAATGTGTCTGATACACCTTCCACAGATTCCTTCATCCCAACTAACTCGTAGATTGCTTCTTCAGTAGGCGACAATTTTTGTTCCATGTTGGGTCCTCCACCAGTTCCTTTGCCAGCTTTTAGATTTTGGGCAGCCTTTCGCCGTACGTATTTTTTTTTTTGATCAGCCCAAACCTGAAATATGTATTGCACTTTTATTATTTATAACCTCAAGTAGCTTATCATCCTTACCTTTTTCCATTCGCACACATTTTTCATTGGTGGTCCAGCCGAGTTTAAATCCTCTTCCACCTGGCGCCAAAGCTTGTTAACATCGTCCTTCTGGCCTTTATAAAAACCGCGCGCAATGTCTGGGTGCGCCTGCATGCGACTGCAAAGCAGCTCGATCTGCTGCTTAAGGGTGTTTTTGACCTGGGTGTAATAATAATGTTATTAATAATCATTTTATTATGCAAAAATTTAATTACTTACATTTTTCATAAGGACTCTCTTTAAATTTCTTGGCGGAAAAATTCTCCAGAAATGTCATCACAATCTCCCTTTTTTTGGCATTCGTAATAGCTTCTTTTACCCGCAAGGAAAAAATTCATGACATTTGCCATTCAGAATAGGAGGAAAGGGAAAAGAGAATAAATTCCCCGAGAGTTGTCATTCAGAATTGGGCTGAATGAGGCCTGCGGGCTGTGTTTCCTTTGCGAAAGAACAATAACGGCCGCGGGCTTTATTTCCCAAAGAAAAGGAATAGCGGGCGTCCAATTGATTTATTTCATAAAAAAAAGGAAATAAAGCCCGTGAGTAGTTTTTCTCTCGCTTTTTCAAAAAATGCTTTAAGAAACTACCTTTATTCATAAAAAACTCCATTTTCGGAGGTATTTTCAAATCGGTCCAGCTCGCTTAAATCGTAATATTTTTCCGAAATATTTTGGTGGACGTCTTAAAATATAACAAGTTTTGTAATCCCGGCTTAAAAACCGCAACTTTTTTTGGTGATGCAGTCTAGTGTACATACATACATACATATGTATTAAATATGTGCATTGAAATTTGTTAATTTCAATTTCTTCTTATAACAAAGGAAGAAATATATTTAGTCAATGTTATAATATTAGTTTTTATTTAGAAGATGGTTTCGGATGTACATATTCTAAAATGGAGGCAACCACAATAAATATGAAATAGCGCCCGCCGGCTTTATTTAATTTTTTAGGAAATGAAGCCCGTCAGCGTTATTGCCATATCGAAAGGGAAATAATGCCCAGCAGCAAAAGGCAATAATAATAATAATTCTTTTTCGAAAAGGCAATAATGCGCATCGCATTGAGGGCTAAAAACAATAACAATTTACCTTTAGTTTTCAATAATTCGCTTATCAGTTGTTGGCAAATTTATCGTTCGATTTTATGCGTATACTGCAGAAGGGAACTCAACGCAGAACTACACTCTAAAAATTGCATGTAAAACTACTACTGAAAAGTGTTTATTTTTCAACAAGAATCTGTTTAAGTATACGCACAACATGTTCAACATTTGATTTTAAACATGAGTTGTTTAATATATGTATACACATAAATATACACATGAAATGTTTAAAATTACAAACATTTTGGAAGTAAAAGTATATTTTTTACAAATAATAAATACGAAGTGCCAGGGGGCACCCAGGAATGTATTTTTTGGGGGGAGGGGTTCATACTTCTAAATATATATCATCAGAAAATACTGAAAATTCGCAGTATGCAATAACTAAACTTTTAAATAAACTTTTTAAAGTTTCATAAATTGCATTTTATTTACATAAAATTTACAAAGAACTCAAACATTTTCAACCGGCTTCAAAAAAGGGGAGGTTATCAATTCTTCGGAGTATTTTTTCTTCTTTTATGTATGCCACCGCATAACTTTGGACCGCGTGAACCGATCCCAATAATTCTTTTTTTACCCGTAATTTGGTTTATCATTAAAAATTAACGGTACTCCAAAATTTGTATTTGAGAATTGAAGTTGGTTTTGCTTTTTGCTTAAAAATTACTTGTTTAATAAAAAGTTCTATAAACAAAAGATACACTCAACTTTCTAAAGTAATACAAAATTTTACAAAAGAATTTTAATATAAATAAATTGAATAATTCCATGAATTTTTTACACTTTTATGTTCATTTTCGTCGATTTCTGGATTATCATTTTTTAATACTTCGAATACCGAAAATTTAACTGAACTTGTATTTTTATCATGTAGCTCATTTTGTGGAACGAATTCGAAGTTAGCAAATTAAATCTTCGAACGCTTGTTAAGTACATATCAGTGGTAAACTTTTTTAGGCTGTAAAGTGTAAAAAGCAGCAGTAAATGAGTATGAATTGTATATTTTTAGGACAATGTTTTCATTCGCAGTTAAACTTTAAAGAACTCTCAAGAAAAACGAAAAATTCTTACAAAATTACGCACAATTGGGGTTTGAACCCCAAAACCCATCCCTTGTATGCGCTAATGCTAAGTGCTCATATTTACTCAACTTTAAACACTTTGTGTGTATTTTTTCTCTACGTGACAAATTTGGTATGTAAAAGTAAACAGAGAGTGTTTAATTTTGCACACACTATGTGAGGAAACTGGTTACCTCTCTTTATATGCGTAAATTTAAACAAAAATTTTTTAGAGGAAATTTTTAACATTTTATGTGTAAACTGTGAAATTGTGAACAATAAATGTTTGGAACTCAAAAAACAAATTTGAAATTTGTTCTACGCCACGCATATGATAGGTAAAAGTAATCAAGCAGTGTTTAATTTAATTAACACGGTGTGTAAATTTGCATTCATAAAGGAAACTGGTTACCTATCTTAATATGCGCAAATTTAAACAAACATTTTTTAGAGTGTACACTGTATGTAAAAGGAGAGAGCAAATCGTTTAAAATACATTCCATTTTATGCAAATGTATGCCTGCATACATAATAGGAATGTTTCAGTAAAATAAAGCCAGAGAACTCTTTGGGAAATAAAGCCCGTGGCCATTATTGCTCTTTCGCAAAGGAAGTAAAGCCCGCCTTTATTGGTGGGCGCTATTTCCTCTTCGAAATGGAAATAATGCCCGCGGGCTTTTTTTCTTGTTTTTTAGGAAATAAAAGCCCATGGGCGTTATTTCGGCAGGCGTTATTGCACTCCACCGGTTAAAACAATGATAAATATTAAGAAAAAGATAAGGATGAGACTACCGACAAAAGTAAAGAAAATGGTATAGATAGAGACACAGAGCCTCAACCTGGGAACTATACTGGTATTCTCGGGACTTATCGATATTAATCGATATATTTATGGATTTTTTTATCGATTTGGGTACCGATTTTACTATCGATTTTGTTATCGATATTTTTTCGATTTTGATGTCGATTTGGGTATCGACTTTTTTATCGAGTTTTTATATTTTTATTGAGCTTTGTACCACAATCGATTATTAGGAAAAATTGAAAAAGCAACAAAGTCTAAGCGGTAGAAGATATAGCCAGGGTTCAGAAATATTCACTCACCTTCGTACGCGAACGCGAAGGTGAACGTATCAAATATTCTGCATTGATTCTCCTTCGCGAACGAGAAGCATAAAACCAGTCCAGATAGTTCGCGTTCGCGAATGTTAGGTAGAAAAAATTTCCGCTGTGTTCGTACGCGTATGCATTCGTGGACCAAACAGGGTGCGTTCATATATGTATGTAGCTTAAAGCTGATGCCAGATAAAACTTTGTAGCTTTGTGTGACATTTATAACTTTGCCAGCGAAGCGCCAGACGCAAAAATTATGCCACAATGAACCCAAAGAAAACAATTTTGTACTGCTTTTTTAGGGTAAGAACATAGTGGAGCGGTGAGCAAAGAGCATCGAGCAAAGCGTCGATTTCAACCGCATATGGTTCAATGGGAAAGCGCATAGTGAAGAGCAAAGCGTACATACACATTTGTAATTGAAGCTTTGCTCGATGTTAGCTCTTCGCTTTGCTCGCCGCTCCACTATGTTTTTACCCTTACTCAATATCAGCAATGTAATTAAGTTTTATGTTTCTACATCAAAACTCGAATTTGGACGAAACAAAATAAATATTAAACCGGTTGATTGTCAAAGCATGCAAAAAGATGGGAGTTGGCCATCTTTTCGCTTCGCGCTGCAGCTTTAACGATCTATGTGGCGTGCTTTGTGCATTTTCATACAATTCATCTTATCTGTCAAAGCAAATCTGTAACGTAAAGCGAAGCAAAAGTTTTATGTTGCATCATCTTAACCGCCCTATTCCCACAACACTGACACTGATACTAGTATCGCCCAGTTGCCGAAATTCGACATCTTTTTTCATACACTTTTGAATTTTACCTGTCACCAATACTAAATCCTATATGCGAATTACTATTTTGACGTCCACCAGCATAATTTATAGCGAATTTACAGGAAAACTTGAAATCGAATTATGAACGTTAATACCGGATTGATTAATGCTAATTCTACAAAGTCTCGTCCTTAGTAGCTTTTGCGAATAGACCGAAAAAGGAACCTCGATTTTCATTTATAAAAAATATGCATATGTATTTGTATGTATAGATGAGATGTTCATCACTGACTAATATCTCAAACAATTCAGACTATAAATAAGCCCGTAAATACGTATGGGCGGTGCCACGCCCTCTTTTCCAAAATCTACCATATTTCGCCGTAGGTACGGTATTGACAACTTATGTTGCTGAGTCAATTTTCAGGACGTCAACATAAGCGGTTCCAGAGATAAGCGATATGAGAATTTCAGTTTGTATGGGCGGTGCTACGCCCCTTTCCCATTATATACCACTTTTCGCCATAAGTACGTTATTGATATCATAAATAGCTGTGTCGAATTTGAGGACGTTAGCATAAGTGGTTCCAGAGATAAGCGATATGAGAATTCCAGTTTGTATGGGCGGTGCCACGCCCCCTTTTCAAAAATCTACCATATTTCGCCCTAAGTATTGACAACGTATGTTGCTGTGTCAAATTTCAGGATGTCGGCATAAGCAGTTCCAAAGATAAGCGATATGAGAATTGCGGTTTGTATTGGCGCTACCAAGCCCCCTTTTCCAAAATCTACCACTTTTCGCCGTAATTACGGTATTGACAACATATGTTGCTGTGTCAAATTTCAGGACGTTAGCATTGGTGGTTCCAGAGATAAGCGATATGAGAATTTCAGTTTGTATGGGCGGTGCCACGCCCCTTTTCCAAAATATACCATATTTCACCGTAAGTACGGTATTGAAAACGTATGTTGCTGTGTAAAACTTCAGGATATCAGCATGAACAGTTCCAGAGATAAGCGATATAAGAATTTCAGTTTGTACGGGCGGTGCCACGCCCCTTTTCCAAAATCTACCATATTTCGCCGAAAGTACGGTATTGACAACATATGTTGCTGTGTCAAGTTTCGGGACGTTAGCATAAGCAGTTGTAGAGATAAGCGATATGAG